CATATATCTAAGCAAATCAAGAGCTCGAAAGGAAGGATAAGTGACCATAGCATCCGCCCTCCCTGGGCTGCACTGAGGTTGTGCATTCCTCAGCCTGTGACAAGATGTGCAGCCATTCGTTTCCAAAGGAAAGGCCACCTGTCTCTTAACACCTGCTTCCATTGATTTTCCCCCGCTTCACAGGGTTCCTTCTCCTCTAGTAACCCCTCTAAAAGCTTAAAGTTCCCTTGATCCCCATCACTACCCAGAAAGCATTTCTCTTCCACACAGTCCTCTTTCTCTAAGCCCCCTTGGCTCACGCCTTCTCCCATGGCCCTTCCAGCCCATTTCCCATTGTCCCCTCCTTCCAGGCAGCTCTGTGGTCTTAGTTAAAACAAGAGAGGTCTGCCGACTGCACTCAACCTCTTGCCACATGGCAAGGTTCCAGCTTTACAGATGATGCTATCCCCAAATGTAAACAACACAACCACAAAGTCTTTTCTTTTAGCTTCTAATCTGGGCTGATCTGAGCAGTGCAGTTTTGCTGCTTGGACTAATGGTCTGAGCTTTATGGACATGAGGTAGAAGATAAAGTATCTTGGTGAGGGCAGCAGTACATTTTCCCTCTAAATTTTAAAAGGATGGAGAGAAAGGTTTCCCACTGAGCTCCTCTGACTGCCTCTCATTCTTTTTCTGTAACTTTGAACAAGAACCAAGACCCCTTTAGTTTTGATCTGAAAACTCTGAGTTTGAGGGTATGGAGGGGCAGTAGTATATGAGCTTGTCTTGGATCCCAGAAGTGGAAGAATTATCTTCCCCCACACCCACAGAACCACACTGATCTTGGCGACCTGACTCATTCTCTGTTGCCGTGCTGATGCCATTGACTCTAAAAAATTGGTTCTTTCTAGCCTATTGATTCCAATTTCCTTCCTAGATGTTAGACAGAAATGAGAATAGCCTACTTGGGGAGAGGGCTTTATCAGCATTTGTCATACATCGAAACACAGCTGCAGTGACCAATATCTGGATTTTGTATCTAGACCCACAAAAGGCCCCCAGGTCCTGATACGCCTTCAGTGTGATGGAATTTGGTGGTCTGACTTCATGGGGTGTCACTTTTGTCAGAGAGAAAAGGGGATTTTTGACAGGCCACCAGATTTATCCTTAACATCCCCATACGGAGCTTCAGGGCACCTGACCGGTGTTAAGGAAACCTTTACTTGATATATCTGGGTTGCCTTTAAGTAAAGTATAGAGCTGTTCTTTACACTATCTCAGATCTTCCTTCTTGTCTGCGCTGACAAACAGAGCCAGAGTCAATCCCCATTGAAATATGAAAGGATACCCACACAATACCCAGTCCCTGGTTGGAAAGACTGGTGACCAAAACCATAAATGGCTAGAGAGTAGCCAGCACTGTCTAATCATCTGTCAGGGCTATTGCCCAGATGCTTTGAGAGCTGTGAAACTCTGGCCAGTGTAAACTACATCTGAGTGGTTTTCAAAATGGGCCAGATTCTCATTCCTTTCTTTAGTCCTTTTGTTTCAGGCACGTATGGAGTAAGTATTGCACTAGATGACCTCCCGGGGCCTGTGATCCCTAATCATCCTTCACTCTCCTTCCCTCTCCCCGCTCCCGCCCATTACTGTTTGCACTCATCTCACCCCCACATTAGAGCGTGATAAGCAAGCATGTGCTTATCAGGAGTCCTGGAGGCTGCTGATTTCATGTGGCGTTTTCTGGCTTCCTGCCACAAAGCAGGGTTTAGTCTGATACCCATACATTGAAGGAGGTGGGCACTTGGGAGCTGACTTTTCAACATCGTTTAAGGTCCGAGGGGTGAGAGAGAGGGGACAGGGCTGCCATAGCCAGAGGACAAAGTGGTGCCCATGACTCCTAGAACAGTGGGGTCTGGGCCTCAACTGTTAATTACTTCTCTCCAGTTTCTCTCATCTTGGCTCACCTAAGGTGGGTCATTTGTCATACTAGCCTCTTGAGGGTTTGTCCCCAAAGCAAGTTCCTATATTTAGAAGTAAGTTGGTAGTATTTGCTTGTGAATCCCTCTGAGCAATAACTATAAAAGGTAAATTTGTGACATGTGAGAGGCTTGTTTGCTTCTTTCCTGATCTGGAACATTTCTAGAAAAGAGTTCATTTAGCCCTGCTAGCGTGACTCCTTGGTTGAGCATTGACCTATGAACCAAGAGGTCACAGTTCGATTCCCAGTCAAGTCATATGCCTGGATTGCAGGCTCAACCCCTAGTCGGGAATGAGCAAGAGGCAGCCATTCAGTGATTCTCATCTATATTTCTCTCTCTCTCTCTTTCTCTCTCTCTCCCTCCCTCCCTCTTTCCCTCTCCTTTCTTCTCTGATATCAATGAAAATATATTTTTAAAAAGGAAAGAGTACACTTATATTTTTGAGACACCCATGTAAAAACGTAGCACAGCCTTCAAGCATTTGACTTACTAACCTTATTACCCACTTCTTGCAAGAGCACTTTATCTGGCCCTTCTGCCCTATTCCCTGCGATTATGAATCATGATTTTAGGAGAGAGACTGTTGTAAGGCCCATGTATACCAAGGCTCCCCTCATCTAATGCACTGAAATTAATGCTATTCCTCCTCTACTCTGGGTGTACCCACCTCACACCATCTGAACTTTGGGAAAAGGAAAAATCAACAGATTTCAGCCTCAATTGTCTTATCACAACCACTTTCTCCTTTAAGTGTGAATGCTAAGTCATATTTAACCTATGACCTCTATGAGGGACTGAAGCCATTGCTTCTCTTCTGGGAATGTGAAACCTCTGTGGGAAAAGATGAAGGGGTCTGGGCTCCCTCCCCTGGTTTGGGAGGGAAAGGGTTGATTAGGAGCAAACCACGCTCCATCCCCTGGTTTGAAGGGAAAGGCTTGATTAGGAGCATGGACAGCCAGCAATGAAGCTAGTGGAGGGAGGAGGACATGGATTTCTTCAGGGCTCCTGCCAGATGTACATGTGCAAGGAAGAGATTATCTCAAGGCCAAGCAACCATGGTCTAGATAACTAGTTTAGAGATTCATATGCTCCTCACTGGGCTCTTTTTTTAGAAGGCTTCTCAGTTAGACCAGAGATTTAAGGAACCCTGGCCAATTCTGACATTTGGAGTTGAGTTAGTCAGGCAGGGCAAAGGAGGTTTTTCATGCAGCAGCTGTGGGGCAGTCTCGGGCCTCAAACCAGAGCCAGTCATCTCCAATAGAGACTGGTTCACCCTCAGGATATAGCAGGGCCATTCTGGCAGTGTGCCCGAGCACGTTTGTTCAGCACCACACAGGGGGAAGTCATTCATAGTAGGGTTCTCTGTGTGTCAGTATGCTGAGAACACATGCTGTTCTAGAGTCTGTCGGGAGAAGGCCTTTCAGATAAATCCCAAGATGCATGGTCGAGCAGTACCAAATCCAGGACTTCTTATGACTCGATTTGTGTACGTTCATTGGGCCCTTACCAGTTTTTTCTTTTTCCTTTTTTAATCTCCTATCAGGCTAATCCGCAAATAATTATGGTACCACCCTAAATTCACTTTTAAATATTACTTTCTAACTCTTCATCTCTTCCGTCAGTCCTTACAGACAGGTAAATGCAGGTGAAGTTCATTCCTATTTATTGATTAAAACCTGAGGAAGATTAAAGGGAGAAACACCATATTGACTAAAATTCTACTTGCAGATTCTCTGCTTCATGTCCTTTTCAAAGGCCCTGACAACCTTTCTTGACGTCCCAGATGCAAGTCCCTGGTAATAACAACACTTGCCATTTATAAGATTGCATCATGCCAGACATTTTCTGTACATTTCCTCCCCTCCCCTCATCCTCCAATTATTTGAATGTTGGCCCTCTTTTTAAATTGAGATCTGGAAAAGTTGTGATGCAGTGACATCAGGACTCAAAACCAGGTCTTTCAAATTCTGAAATGGATGTCCTTCGTCTTCCAGGGCCCTGCCTTATCTGACTAACTTCATGTAGACCAGTGACCAAAGAGACTGGCAGCTTTCTTTCACCTCCAGCTCAAACCCTAGCCATAGCTGAGCTGCCCCTGGGAGAACAGTAGCTTTGAAAAGATGCAGGCTGTTGAAAGGAGACACCCTTACTTTGAGAAATGGAAATGAACCATTTAATGGTGATTTGCATAAGTAGAAATAAATCATGTACCTGTGTGTTCAAGATCCCTCTCTGCCCTGCTTTCTACACCTTATTGCACCTTTGAACATTGCTTTTATTTAGTTGAATTCAGAGTGTTCTCGCCTTAGCTGGTTTGGCTCAGTGGATAGAGCATCGGACTGCAGACTAAAGGGTCCCAGGTTAGATTTCAGTCAAGGGCACATGCCTGGGATGCAGGCTTGATCCCCAGTAGAGGGCATGCAGGAGGAAGCCAATCCATGATTCTCCCTCATCATTGATGTTTCTATCTCTCCCTCTCCCTTCCTCTCTGAAATAAAAATATTTTTTTAAAGAAAAAAAAAAAGAAACTGCATTCTTTAAAAAAGAAAACAACTATTCTCCAATATTATCCTCCCTCCTCAATTCCCCATTGCTGTGCGAGCACTGTGATTTCCATGGTGACGGGACCACCAGTTAAGCTTGGCTCGCACAGGTTTATCTGGTCAGAGGACACTTAGGGGCTGTGCTTCCAGGTGAGCTGAACTCTGAATGAGGCTTTCTAGGGGGTTGCTTTAAAGTAGTGATGTGAGCGGTGCTATATGGCTATAATGAAAGCACAACTGAGCTTCATGCAGAAAAGCCCAAGCTTGCCCCTGCTATTTCTTGAAAGAGTCCTAGCCCTCTCCTCCCCTCTACTACCCCAAGTTCTCAAATTTGTGTTAGGAGCCATGCATTCCCAGCCTCACCATCTCCTTCCTCCCTGTACTTAGCTTGCTTCAGGCCATAGAAGGGACTTTGTTTCTCCCTGGATTTTGTTATTCTTGATAACAAATTGTTTCTCCTCCCATTCTCTTTTCTTCCCTCTTTCTCTCCCACCAGAGAGTTTTCAACGTCCTTTATCCCATGCCTGCTGACCAGCGGAGACATGTCAGCATCAACTCTGCCCGCTGGCTGCCTGAGCCTGGGCTCGGCCTGGCCTATGGTACCAACAAGGGAGACCTGGTGATCTGCCGACCAGAGTGAGTGGTTCAGGGGCTGGTGGGGTAGATGTGGAGGGGCCATCTGGGCTGCGGGCTGGAATAATCAGCACTCACCTATGGATCCAGCTGGTGAGAGGGTCTTTTAAAGGGGAAGTCTAAATTCTGCTAGAGCCTGCCTCATTGTCACTCCTTAAAAAGTCCTTTTCACTCAACAGATGGTAGGGTTAGCTCTCCATTCCAGAAATCTTCAAAAGACTGGTTTACTTATTTTGTCTCTTAAATCTAAAGCAGTATGTTTTGTTTGTTTCCCCTTGTTCTCTGGTGATAATAAAAGTTTCTTTGCAGTCAAAAGCATAGATATCAAATATTCTTTTCTAAAACCTCTTTGAAATAGCCAACATGTAATCTTAGGTATGTGTAAAAGCTTTAGAAATGAACTTAAGAAATAAAATTGGGAATAAGGTGTTGTTAAAGCCCTAATTTTTAATATATTTTTATTAATTTCAGAGAGGAAGGGAGAGAGAGAAATAAACAATAGTGATGAAAGAGAATTACCGATTGGCTGCCTCCTGCACCCTCACACTGGAGATGGAACCCGAGATCCTTCAGTCCACAGGCTGATGCTCTATCTACTGAGCCAAACGGGCTAGGGCTAAAGCCCTAATTTGTCAAGCCACTGATCTCTAACCACCTGGCTCTGTGTCCTGCCTGTTTTCCTTTCTGCTGGAGGCTCTGGCTCATAATAGAAAATGCAGATTGAAAAGTGCAATTTAAAAATTGAAATGGCCATGGCCTGTGTTGTTCAATTGTTGGAGCACAATCCCACACACTGAAGGGTCTCAGTTTTGATTCCTGGTCGGGGGCATATATTTGGGTTGCAGGATTGGGTTGCCCAATCCCTGGTCCGATTGGGGCACATGTGGGAGGCAACCAATCAATAATATGTCTCTCTCACATTGATGTACCTGTCTCTCTGTCCTAACCCCTCCTACTCCCTTCCTTCCACTCTCTCTTAAAAAATCAATGGGAAAAAATCCCCAGGTTAGGATTTATAACAAAAATCAAAATGATTATTATCTAGTCCTGAAGTAAGGAGTAGGAGGGGACACAAACCAAAGCATTTCTGTAGTCAGTCCTGATGACCTCCTTCCTCTTCCTCTGGCTTTTTGGAGGATAGAGATCTATTTAGGCAGGACCCTGGGAGTCAGCCAAGCCTGTCATCAATTTCCATGCCCATCCAGGTGGGGAGTGTGAAGCTTTGTGCTTCAGTGCAGATTAAGCTGACTGCGGAGTGGGCCACTGCAGGGTTCCAGCTTACTGACTGCCACTCCTGCTTCAGGCCTTCCTAATGCTGCCCTTCACTGAGTAGAGTCTCCGTGGGTGTTCTGCAGATCACAGAGATGGGGGTGTCTGGTAGGGTCTCTGGGAGTGTCCATGCTGTCTTTTGCTAGGGACCTTGATGATTTTTACAGGGTGTGTATTTGGGTCAGATCTTATAGCCTGGTTATTGAGTCCTTAGTTGAGCTAGATTATTGGTCCAGGAGAAAAAAAACTTGGTTCTAAGGGCAGCTCATTCCATTTGGAATTTTCAGGGCCCCTCTCAAATAGAAGCTGCTGCCCAGCCAGTGTGGCGCAGTGGTTGAACATTGACCTATGAACCAGGAGGTCACAGTTCAATTCCTGGTCAGGGTAAATGCCTGGTTGCAGACCTCCTCTCTAGTAGGGGGCACGCAGGGGGCAGCCAATTGATGATTCTGTCTCATCATTGATGTTTCTGTCTCTCCTCCCTTCCTCTCTAAAACCAATAAAAATACATTTAAAGAAAAAAGAAAGAGAGAGGCCACTGTCTGAATCTGACCTGGTCAAGCTGCTCTTGGAGCTGGCAGACTACTTGGCCTGCAGGCCGAGCTCTCCTCGGGCTCTGTGCCCGGAGAGCCCCTTCCACGAGCTCCTGTGCCTTTCCGGAGCCCAGCCTGCCTGTCATGACTGTGCCACCACCAGTCTAGGCACTGGATCTGTTCCTTTCTGCTCTCACCGTGGCTGCCCATAGTCCCAGGATCTGTCTTCCCTGAAATACTTATTTTTCCCAAAGTATACGAGTCTGATTATCTTGTATCTTCCTCTTTTCTTTGGAATTCATAGGCATGTTTTCTAAAGCTGGCCCAGAATCCTGGACTTTAATTTTATTCTTATGAACACGGTAGTTGCAGGCGTTTCTTTCCCTGTTTCTCCAAGACATCCTTCCTCAGCGTTGTTGTCTTCTCTATGGATCCAGCCACTAACCTTCCTCCAAGCCCCCACCCCTTGCAGACGTGATCTGCTCTCACAGAGGCAGAATCTCTACCTCCAGCTAGTCGTGGCCCCCCGAGGACTTTGATGTCTGAAACCCCAGCCCACGTACTTGCTGTGAGTCATAGACACCTCGGAGAAGCATGAAGCTGGCTTTGGCCTATCTTTCCTCACCATATGTTGTCTTCAGCAGCCAGAGCCTCAGCAGGCCAAAGCCATCTTGGACTGCTTGGGGAACGCTCTTCCCACCAGGAACCGAAGCCTCTTTTGTGAGCAGGGTGGCATTTGACACAGAAAACAGCATCCCATCACAAATCAAGTCGTGTTGGACTGAGGGAAAGCTACCTTAGCCGGCCTATTTCAGTGTTGCTGTTTTTCCTGATTTTTTGGGTCATGTTAGCAAATGCTGCAAACCTTAGGGCTGGACTTTTAAAGATACCATGTATATTAAGACGGACGGACTTTGACCTAAGTCATTCAGAGCTTCTCCAGTTCTGAGTCCCCTTCATATCTGTATGGTTGGTTTGCTTCAGTCAGGGAAGACTGAACAATATTCAGATGAGGTAGAGTGAAAGCTCACCGAAGGCCTCTCAGAAGATCAATGAAGGAATTTGGGCTTCCTAACTTTCCAATCCAGAGCTCTTTTCCTGTAGCTGGTTTTTAACCTCCCCCCCCCCCCCCCATTAAAAAATCCTTTAAAATTCTGATGAGCCCTGGTCGGTGTTATTAGAGTGTTGGCCTTTGCATGAGAGAGTTGCAGTCTATCCCTGGACCTGGTCAGGGTGTGTGCTGGAGGCAGTCAAATGATGTCTCTCTTGCATCGTTTCTCTCTCCCTCCCTCCCTCTCCCTCTCTCTCCCCCTCTCCCTCTCTCTCTCTCTCTCTCTCCCCCCATACTCCTCCCACTCGCTCTGAAAATCAATGGAAAAAATATCCTTGGGCCGAAACCAGTTTGGCTCAGTGGATAGAGCGTCGGTCTGTGGACTGAAGGGTCCCAGGTTCGATTCTGGTCAGAAGTGTGTACCTTGATTGCGGGCACATCCCCAGTGGGGAATGTGCAGGAGGCAGCTGATCGATGTTTCTCTCTCATCGATCTCCCTTCCTCTCTGTAAAAAAAAAAAAAAAAAATCAATAAAATATATTTTAAAAAAGAAAAAATATCCTTGGGTAAGGATTAACAAAACAAAATTTTTTTTACTGAATAAATAAAATTCTGATTAAAGCCATGCACTCTCTTGCACAGAAGAACATACTAGAAGAACACTCGTGTAATTGTAACTCTCTTAAGACCTCAGGAAGAATGCAGCTCTGGATGGGGATGATGATAAGCATGTGGGTGATGGATGCGGAGAGAGCAGTCTCTCTGTGTTGTCACTATGGCTGGTCTCTGGCCTAGAATCAGGAGAACGAATACAAAGGGAAAGAAGGAGCTCAGGGCTGTTGTCTCTTTAGAAGGTTGCTGCCTATCCCTGTGTGACGCAGCTCCCTGGCACACCCGTTCCCAAGGGCACAGGATCCAGCCAGGCAGCTGGGCCAAGATTACAGCCCTCCCACCAAAACAGGTGGTTTCTGCCTTTGTCCCAGGCACGGGCAGCTGCACTCATTTTGTGCTCTCAAGTCTACTCTTGATTTCTCCTTCATTGTCTTAGCCTTAGTGCTCTCTCCAACCACAAAGACAGGGATAACAAGCTCCTTGGGCATCTCTTAGTGGTCCTGAAACTCCCCCCGACAGTAGAAAAAGACCTAAGGAAACACTCCATCTCTCTAGGGAAAGAAATTCTTAGGACCGGTGAGGAGAGGAATAACTGGCCCTTCAGACCCTGTACAAAGCCATTACGGTGAGGTGCGCCCTTCTCCTTGGCTTTGCTCCTCCACTGCCACTCCTCCAAGCTGCTGCTCTGCCTCTGGCTGACTGCCAGCCCAGCCAACACCCCCACCGATAACCACAGTGGGTGTGAAATAACAGATTGATGTGAGGGGGTGCTTGCTCACTTCCGGCTTCCTAGATGAGCCCTACAAATGGGAGAGAGGTGTTGCTGGGAAGACCACTTCTCAGAGTCAGCTCAGAAGGCAGAATTCACAGAAAAAAGTAGGCTCTGTGGGGCATCTGGTGTTTGGCTGAGTGTGGGGCTCCTGAGAGGTCCCAGCTCTGTCCCCTGAGAGGGAGCTGCCACTGTAAACAGTGATTACAATCAGGAATCATTGACCACAGAGGGGAAAGGCACGCCTCGGAATCAAAAGGGAAGCCACAGCGACTGTCTTTTAGGCTGTTTGTCCCACAAGAGCCAGGTGCCAATCCTTTCCCACGTCATAGAGATAGCAGGGATGAATGCCGGTCTCAAAACAGTCCTTTTTTCTAAGGAGACAGCCATGTAACTGGTAGTTGAAAGAAGAGTGTTCTCAAAGGGAACATTCCCTAGAAGTTGGGAAGTTGAGAGCCAGAGTTCTTTGTGGAGCGTTGTCACCGCTGAGGAGGCCGGGCGGGCGCCTGGGTGTGCTCAGAAGCACAGCTTACCGACTCTGCTGGAAGAAGCCAGGTGTTAAGTGGAAGTCCATCTGAGAAGGTGACCTGATTTGCCTTGCCATTCTTCTCCATCCCTTTGTGTGTTTGCCAAGCTTTCAGGAAAAACTTGGAGCAAACAATGACTCAATCATCCTCATTAAGTTTCCTGAAGGAGGTGGTTGGGACCGTTGGCATTGAAGGCTGAGTTTCCATGGCCAGAGACATTTCTTCAACTCTCTTCCTTGGTGCCTGGAGTTTTCAAATCCTTGAGCTTGTTGTAGTTGAATAGTTCCAACCACAGAAAGGAGCCATATCAGGATTAGACATAGACCTGTTGGTGGGGAACAGAAAGGCTTGGGGGAGAGGGGAGAATGCAGCAATGTATCTGATGCAGTCTATCCCGTTCTGTTTCAGTGGCCAGAGTCCCCAGCGCCGAGCCAGATGGGTGGGAAGAGTTTAAGGGGGACCCTTTGACCATCAGCATCACACTGACAGTCCCAGCTCTGAGTGGGCCTTCAGTGGTCTCTTTCCTGTGACGAAAAGGAAGTTTCTGGTACATGGTTTGGTGTGAACAATTTGTTGTCAGTAACCAGCCCTGGCTAGCAGGAATTAGAGAGGAAGGATTGGCAGGGACCCACATGGTATTGCCACCTGTCAATAAATCCTGACAAGTTTGCAAATCAGAGGCTCCCGGCAGCTGGCAGTGATGGCTTTGTTTTTGAAGGCCTCTGCTGTAGACTTGTGGCCATTTGCCTAATACAAGATCTGCTCCGTTCACCATCACTCTCCAGTGTCCGTGGTTCTCAGACAAACCCTTTATGCAGCTGAGTGTTTGGAAGAGAGAGGAGATGTTCCTTTTTAAAGGAGTGGTTTGAAGATTACATCAAGTCCACAGCCCCCAGACCCTCTGGGAGTTGTCGGGAGGATTACATAGAGCAGGGAAGGGAAGAGCACTTTTGTCAGGCTGGGGCTCTTTCCCTCCAAAATCACTAGTGTGTGATTCACCCAGGTGAATCCTGTCCCCAGAATCATAGCGATCCTCTAAAACAGGGGTGGGGAACATCCAGCTGGCAAGCTGTATGAGGCCTGAGAAATCATTTGGTCTGACCCTGGCAAGGCATTCAGGGTGAGTTAATTAAATATAGCAGCTAATTTTTAAGTTGATAATTTTATATGGCCTGCGAATGACATTATAAACATCCAAATGGCCCTTGGCAGGAAAAAGGTTCCCCACCCCTGCTCTAAAGACTGGCTTGGGGGCTCAGTGCCAAGGCCTATTTCCTTTTTCTGCGGAGCACAGCCTCCGACATACATCCCCTCCTCATCCAAGTCCTGTCACATCCCATATCAGGGATGATATAGTCCTCTTGTTTAGGAAGGAAGCACCTACACCACCCTTCACAAACCTCCTGGCCGATCCTCAGAACCTGCTGCTCCCCCTCACAATCTCACCTCCTGGCTGATCCTCAGAACCTGCTGCTCCCCCTCACAATCTCACTTCCTGGCTGATCCTCAGAACTTGCTGCTCCCCCTCACAATCTCACCTCCTGGCCGACCCTCAGAACCTGCTGCTCCCCCTCACAATCTCACCTCCTGGCTGATCCTCAGAACCTGCTGCTCCCCCTCACAATCTCACCTCCTGGCCGACCCTCAGAACCTGCTGCTCCCCCTCACAATCTCACCTCCTGGCCGACCCTCAGAACCTGCTGCTCCCCCTCACAATCTCACCTCCTGGCCGACCCTCAGAACCTGCTGCTCCCCCTCACAATCTCACCTCCTGGCCGACCCTCAGAACCTGCTGCTCCCCCTCACAATCTCACCTCCTGGCCGACCCTCAGAACCTGCTGCTCCCCCTCACAATCTCACCTCCTGGCCGACCCTCAGAACCTGCTGCTCCCCCTCACAATCTCACCTCCTGGCCGACCCTCAGAACCTGCTGCTCCCCCTCACAATCTCACCTCCTGGCCGACCCTCAGAACCTGCTGCTCCCCCTCACAATCTCACCTCCTGGCTGATCCTCAGAACCTGCTGCTCCTCCTCACAATCTCATCTCCTGGCCAATCCTCATTACCTGCTGCTCCCCTTCACAATCTCATCTCCTGGCTGATCCTCATTACCTGCTGCTCCCCCTCACAATCTCACCTCCTGGCTGATCCTCAGAACCTGCTGCTCCCCCTCACAATCTCACCTCCTGGCTGATCCTCAGAACCTGCTGCTCCCCCTCACAATCTCACCTTCTGGCTGATCCTCAGAACCTGCTGCTCCCCCTCACAATCTCACCTCCTGGCTGATCCTCAGAACCTGCTGCTCCCCCTCACAATCTCACCTCCTGGCTGATCCTCAGAACCTGCTGCTCCTCCTCACAATCTCATCTCCTGGCCAATCCTCATTACCTGCTGCTCCCCTTCACAATCTCATCTCCTGGCTGATCCTCATTACCTGCTGACTGATTTGTTTCCTCTTCATGGAAGAAGTTCTGTCTGAGGGTCACCGGTTTGGCTCAGTTGATAGAGCATCGGCCTGAGTCCCAGGTTCGATTCCAGTCAAGGGCATGTACCTTGGTTGCAGGCACAAAACTAGTAAGGGGTGTGCAAGAGGCAGCTGATGGATGATTCTCTCTCATCGATGTTTCTGATTCTCGATTCCTCTCTTCCTCTCTATAAAAAAAATCAATAAAATATATTAAAAAAAAAAGTTTTGTCTTTAGAGAAAGGTGACCTGGGCCCATAGGTTAAAAAGCTGATTTTCATTGGAGATTGTCATTATCTGCGCAGGCTGCCATAAGAGAGTATCATGGGCTGGGTGTCTTAATCAATGACTGTTCTTCCTTACAGTCTGGAGGCTGAAGCCATCATGGCCCATTCTGGTGAGGACCCTTCCTAAGTTGCAGAGGGTCATGTTCTCACTCTGTCTTCACATGGTGAGAAGGCCACAGTCTTGTTGTATTAGGGTCCCACACTTATTACCTTGACTAGAGGCCCAGTGCACAAATTTGTGCACAGGTGGGGTCCAGCTGGCTCTGGGGAGGGACCACAGGCAGTGGGTCTCCGGCCCCACCCTGGTCGAACTTCCCTTCAAACTCCCAGTCAAGGGAACAATTTGCATATTAGCCTTTTAGTATATGACTAGAAATTCGTGCAGGGGGGGGGGGGGAGTGGGGTTTCCCTCAGCCCCCCTCTCGCCTGCCTGATTGCCTCTAACTACTTTTGCCTGCTAGCCTGATCACCCCCTAATTGCTCCCTTGCTGACCCTGTCACCCCCAACTGCCCTCCCCTGCAGGCCCAGTCGCCCCCAACTGCCCTCCCTTGCTGGCCATTTTGTGGCAGCCATCTTGTGGCCATTTTTTGTCGTGGCCATCTTGTGCAAGGGTATGGCAGTCAATTTGCATATTACCTCTTTATTATATAGGATTACCTCCTGAAGACCCTGTCTCCAGATATAACCACATTGGGGATCAGCTTCAACATGCAATTCAGTCTCTAGCAGAGCCCTTCATGCACATGGGCATGTCCTGCCCCATCTAGGAGCAGAACTGGCTGTTTTGTGTAGCATAGGATCTCTACAGATCTCTCTTTGCCAGAGTTCTAACCAAAGGTCTCAAAGATACTCCTTCCCAACTTCTGTCCCCCTGCTTTCACCACCTGCATCAGCACCTCACTCTCAGCCACAGTGACGGTTCTAGGTAACACCTCCCAGGGAGGAATCAGAAAGCAAAGCAGCCCTGCCCAGTTTACTTAGTGGTTAGAGCATTGGCCTATGGACTGAAGGGTCTCGGTTCAATTCCAATCAAGGCTTGTACCTTGGTTTTTGGCTTGATCTCTGGCCCTGGTTGGTGCGTGTCGGGGGGAGAAGGGAACCAATAGATGTGTCTCTTTCACGTTGATGTTTCTGTCTCTCCCCCTCCTTTCCGCTCTCTCTAAGAATTAATGGGAAAATGTCCTTGGGTGAGAATTGACAAAAAGAAAAGAAAAAGCAGAGCAAAACAGTCCTGTGTGCAAGTCAACATAGAAGGATGAGGGGCCACACTTCCCTCTGGCAGCTGTGCCACCAGCAGGCCAGCCATCACCACCTGAGTTTCTCTTCTTCCTTCCCCATCAGAAGTTCGTGAGCAGCCCTAGGGTCTCCTTCAGCTTGAGGAGCACCTTCCCATTGCTTGTCCAGCCTGCCCTGGCCAGGAGGCTGTAGGTCCAGAATAGAAAGAGGTGGGGCTCTTACAGCTCAGTGGGGGCTTATGTCTGCTTAGACTTCTGCGCTCCAGGCAAGTGGAGAATGCTAGGAGCCCTGTGCTCCTTCCTCCCGCCCCGTGGCAGTGAGCACCTGCACTCTGTGTGTGGAACCTGTTTCTGAGCACGAAGTACTAGGACCTTTAGTCAGGGCAGTCCATGCACCCCGTCTCTCCAGGGCCTCTCCAGCCTCTCATTTGCCATCGTAGCTCCTTTCTCTGTATCTGAAGAGCACTCGGAACCCAGTGCCTGCGTCTGGTGTGCCTTTTTTTTTAAGCTGTCTCAGCCCCAAGGAGGAGCCAGTCAGGCTTTGTCTGAGGAGGAAAAGAGGCCAAAACCAGCTCTGCAGGCATTTGCCTGGAGTGCCCCAGTGCTGAACACTTGAGTGCTGAGCGTCCCAGTGGAGTGCCTCTCAGCCCCGCCCAGGAGTGAGGAAGGAGGGTTCCCGGACCATAGTCTGCAAAGCCTGGGAATTGTGAAGAGCTCTGGCCGGTCCTGTCTAACACCTTCCACCTTCTCCTCTTCTTCCCAACTGACTTTCAGGGCCTCTAACTCTGGCATTGAGTACTACTGGGACCAGCTGAACGAGACTGTCTTCACGGTCCACTCCAGCAGCCGGAGCAGTGAAAGGCCCGGGTGAGTGTTTGAAGGAGGAGGTGCAGCTGGCTGAGGCCTTCCCCTGCCTCCTGCTTCTGATGGGCCCCCGAGCAGTGCCCTCACACTGTACCCAGAGCTCTCCTCTATGTTGTGCTCCATGCATTCAGCCTTTGCACACGATTTCATTGAAGAAAATGGTGTTGCCCTAGCCGGCTGGGCTCAGTGGATAGAGCGTCGGCCTGCGAACTGAAAAGTCCCAGGTTCAATTCCGGTCAAGGGCATGTGCCCACTGGGGACTTACAGGAGGCAGCTGATCCGTGATTCTTCTCTCATCATGGATGTTTCTATCTCTCTCTCCCTCTTCCTTCCTCTCTGAAATCAATAAAAATATATTAAAAAAAAGAAAAGAAAATGGTGTTGCCCTAGCTGGGTTGGCTCAGTGGACTGAAGGATCCTGGGTTTGATTCCAGGCAGGCACATGCCTGGGTTGCAGGCTCGATCCTCAGTAGGGGTTATGCAGGAGGCGGCCAATCAATAGTTCTCTCATTATGGATGTTTCTCTCTCTCCTCTCTTCTTCTCTGAAATCAATAAAAATATATTGAGGTCCATGTCTAAGAAAGAACAAAATCTCTGCTCTTAGGATCTTGGTGTGGAACAAGCTAGGACACCCTCTGGTCCTCTCCCATCCTGTGGGTGAGGGGAGAAGCCAGGGCACTGGAGAGAGAGCCTGTCCTTAGGACACATGCTCATGTCCTCTGGGAGGATCTTTCAGTGATCTCCCAGGTGACTAGGGCAAGATGATCAGACGTCCCGCTTTTGGCGGGACAGTCCCGATTTTTAACAATTTTTTTTTTTTAAAGAATTGCTAAAGATTCTTTCCAAAAATTGGGACTTTTTTAAAACGCCGCGGGACAAATTGTTAAAAATTGGGGCATTTGGTCACCTTAGACTAGGGTCTCTGGGACCAAGTTGCCCAGAGCTGCAGACCAGGATCGATTTAGAGAGTAGAAACCTAGTAGTAACCCTCTTATTTAATTCATTAATGAAGACGAATATTTTGAGAAAACAAAGACAAGCACGTGCTTCCTAGAGGGCCCACCTGCAGGAATCGTCCCCAGAAACAGAAATATGAGTGACCCTCTCAGAAGTCCAGGGCTCCCTCTGCTGCCAGCTAGCTACCCTAAGGCTCAGAGCCTGGAAATGCCCTAGGGGAGAGGGTGCTGGCCTTGGGCCCGGACCTTTCTCATAAGGCCCTGCAGGCCCTCAGAACAGCTTCATAAGTCTGAGTACTTTTCCTCACAGTGGAGACCCAGTGGAAATTCCAGAATGTAAACTGGAACCTTGTCAGCATATAGTAAGAAGGAAGGAAATGCCAAAGAGAGAAAGGTCCTCCTACTTCTCACTGCTTGTCCCATGGACCTCAGTTAATGGATTCCTGTATCTAAGAGTCTTTTAAGTAGCCATCTCTACCTCATCAGAAAGTCCCCTTTGTTTAAGGGAGTGGCTGAACCAGCCGGCCTTGCAAAATTGGATGGCCCTGTGGCCGCCTTTCCTCGTTCCGGGCCTGGACTGATAGGAAGGAGAAGGGACACAGGCGAGTTCACTGGGTCGGGAGGCAGCTGAGGGCTGGCAGGACAGCCAGCAGAGCTCTGAGGGGTGCTTTCCCAAGCCCCTCCTGATTTCAGTCCACCTTTCTCTCCTAGAACCAGCAGAGCCACATGGAGGACAGACAGAGACATGGGTCTAATGAACGCAATTGGGTTGCAGCCCCGGAACCCCACCACCTCAGTGACGTCTCAGGGCACCCAGACTCTGGCCCTTCAGCTGCAAAATGCAGAAACACAAACGGAGAGGGAGATACAGGAGCCAGGGACAGCAGCCTCCGGTCCTGGAGAAGGTGAGAGCCGTAATGCTAGTGGGCACATATGGCCCGGGCGGGGAGCGTTGTGGGCGGGACCATCATCAAGGCTCCTGGCTCCTCCACATGGACGGGGGTACTGAGAGAACCCCCAGTCAGGATGAGTACCTTTCCCTGTTTAGGGAGTGCTCTCTTGGTGGCCTTAACAACATCCTAAGGCAGGAACCTCATCCCCCTCATCTGTCACTGATTCTAGCTAGCGGAGCACTCTTCCCCGCTTTCCCCCAAGTGCCCTCTCCTCCAAAATTTGGAGGACAGAGGCTGAGGGCAGGATGTAGCTGGACAGGAAAGGCTACGAAGGACCTCTTGCTGTCAGCTTTCAGGACCACCCACAGGGAGCTAGACCCCCTGCAACTGCTCCTGTTACACCCGTGGACCACTGCCATTTGGGCTGCAGCCCAGCACACCGTCAGCCCCTTCCCGTCACTAACCTCAGGTGCGCCTCAGCCAGCCTCCCCGGCAGTCTGTGCTGGCCTCACACTTCTAAGAACCAATTAGCACTTCTCAGCGGCAGAGCTTGAGCCACTTTGGAGTCTGTTAGCAGCTGTGTTAAATGGCCTGTTCTCACTCACTCAGTCGTCTCCTTACCCCCTACCCAGCCCCTTGCTGGTCCCAGCTCCACACAAGCCAGCCTCGAAGCAGACAGGCACTCTCTAGATCTGTGTTGAGCCAATGGGAAAAGTCGTGATGTGCGTCAGGCAAAGAGTAACAAATTTGCCTGTGTCACCCCCAGGGAACCTTTCTGACTCGTTCCCCCCTCAGGGCACTGTCCCTCTTGCCGCCATAAGCTGAAAAATTTTAAAGTTAAGTCCCTTTTTGATCTATGGCCCAGGCCACACCTACATCCTAGGCCTCTGACTCTTTGTTGGGTGTGGGTAGGCATAAGCCCCAGGGGGTGGACAAGCAGCTGGCAGTGCTGGCTGGGCTTCAGGCCGCAACGAGGAGAGAGCTGCAAGTTCCTCCAGCCGCAGCCACTGCTGCCACCACCACCACCTCCACCACCACCACCCACCCCCGTGCTACAGACAGCCCTAGGCTGCCCCTTGGATTTGATCTCATGGCTGTTTACTGATTTCCACTATGAATCAGCCGCTTGGACTATAAAGACAAATAAGCCTTTCCTCAGTGAACTTGAACTCTAGAGAGGCAGGCAGATAATTACTTCTTGTGATCAGGACCTCAGAAACTCACAGTGGGGCTGGAGGAAGGCTGCTGTGGGAGATGACTCTGAGCTGAGCTTTCAAGGCTTAGTAGGAGTTAGTCAAGCAGAGCGGGTAGGGGAGGGCAGCGAGAGGCATTCCTGGCAGAGGGGACAGCACCTGACAGTTCAAAAACATCACACTGTACACAGAGGACCAAGAGCGGGTTCGTGTTTGTGGCCTGATCAACCTGTGTTGAGAACTAAAGCTGGAGAGCAGGGAAGGAGATTCCAGGACCTGGTTGTGGGTGAGGCCTTCATCCTTGAGGTCAAGTGCACGGGGCTCAGGGCCAGGCGCTGCCAGCTTTAGTCACTGTCCCGCCTTTCACCTCCGGAGAACCTTCTGCTTTTTCGTGTTGTTTTGATTTTTCAGTTTCAGTTGACATTCAATGTGATATAAGTTTTAGGTGTGCAGTATGGTTAGACATTTATATAATTCACAGAGTGCTTCCTCTGCTCTTTTCTTGATTAGCCCCAGACATTCTCAGTCAGTATAAGAGCCTTTCTTCTTCTTTGGGCCAGGGCTGTAGGGCTGGCGAGAGGAAGGGGCTCTTGTTCCCAGTTTCAAGAGGCCAGAACTGCATTTCCTCCCTGTCTTGTCCCCACGAAGGGGAGCAGGTGGTGGAGGGTGGGTCCTGCAGAAGCTGGAGCTGTTCCTCAGCAGGAGTGCAGTCGGGAGCTGGCCCCTGGGCACAGGCAGCTTTCAGCTTGTGCATCTGTCTGGGGCCCTGTAACCTTGGCCCAGAGCTCTGGACCTCCAGCTCTTAATCCTCAAAGAGACGCACCTAGAAAAAGAAGTAAAGGGAGGAGGGCATCATGGGGGGGGGGGCTTCCTGGGGCCCTGTTCGGAGGTGCTGCTAGCGACCACTTCTGCTGAGCCAGCCACCAGGATTTTTCTTGGACTTTCCCCACCCAGCAGGCAGGCACAGTTTCTCTACGCATCACTGCCCCACCCCCAGCATCTGCCTCCTCTCTCCAGGTGGGCAAACTGGAGGCCCATCTGCATCACCTCTCTTCTGGGCTTAGCTAGGGGACAGGGCCGGGGGCGTGGGAGGAGGGCTGTCACCTGCACATCCCACCCCACACACCAGGGCCCCGGTTCACGAGTTTGGGAGACCACCTCTGCTTCGTAGCAGTCACCGTTCCGTGGTGCCGCTCTCAGCCCGTTCCGATCCGCTGGCATCGGATGGCTCCAGGTGGCTCCTCATTTTCTTATTACAGTCCATCAGCTCTTTTTAGGACTTCCAGGAAGAGCCCTCCCCAGTGGGAATTTGCAGCGCTCATCTAACTTAAAGCTTCCCTTCCCTGTCACTCAGAAAGGGAGGTAGCATTTCCTGGTCTCACTGTTTGCTCTCAGCACTGACCCAGTGCCTGCCCCAATACAGCTGGCATCCAGGAAGGGTGTGGGGGGGAGAATGGAGTGGAGGCAAGGCCCTGTCCCTAAGCTTGGCTATGCCACTCTACTTGGGGAGCCCGTGGCTGCCTCTGACACTGGGAAAGGTGGTCTGGCCTCTTGTGTGGTGAGGATGATAGACCAGCTGCAGTGACCTGGGCCCTGGGTTGCGGGAAGAGCAATGTGAGACGGGAGGGGCTAGAAGACCAGCAGCCCGCTAAGGGCAGGAAGGGCAGTTCTCCCTTGCTTAGTCTTGCTTTTCCCTCTTCTGGGTAGTGAACCCCTAGAATTACATGAGGTCACAGGGCATTATGGGAAGTTGGTCGGTCCATCCTGACCTCTGCATCCAGATGTATCTTAGAATTTGCCAAGGAAAAGATCTCATGCCAACACAAAATCGGTTTCCCGTTTTTCAAAGATGGAAAGAAACGCTTTGCTCCAGGGAAGGGGACAGCAGGATTGACCTGTGGCCACCGCTCCTGCAGCTTCTCGCTGGCTCCTGGGCCCCAGTGCCGCGTCCTCTCTGGAAGAATGTGCTGGCGCGTAGCCTTGGCTCAGAGTCCCCAGGAGAGAAGCACAGCTCGTAGCTCAAAGCTGTCAGCACCCAGCGCTGAGGAAGCTTTGGGGCGTGTGTTTTTAATTCTTCCTCTAGTCCTTCTGGAGCACTTCCTCATGCCTGTTGTTACATTAGGGACCATGAATCCAAAGGTATTGCCGAGGGAATCACATTCAGGGACGAAGCCGTGTCCTTTCCCTCGGGAAGGAAACGGACACAGGCGTTTCTGCCACAGCAGGGCAACATGTGATCTGTGTTCAGAAGCCACTTCAGACTGGAGCATCTTTAATCAGCTCAGGAGCCCTTTTATTCTCTCACACATTCATCTGACAAATACACACCAAGCTCCAGACCAGCATTAGTCACTGGACACAAAGATCAACAAAACTTAGTCTGAGGCCTTCAGGAACTTACAGAAGGTCGATGCTGCAGATAACACAGAGAAGTGTGGGCACTGCCTTTAAAAAGAGTGGACCTTAGATACGGGGCGATGGCAAGCACAGAGCAGGCAGAACATCCACAGGGCAAGCAGGCGTACAGCGTGCTGGGCTGACTTGGGTAAGGTCACAGGCGCAAGAAGCGGCTGGAACCTGGCCAGAAGGCCCTTAAATCTCAAGCTAAGGATTTTTGACTTTTTGAAGCTTCTTGGTTTTGACGAGTATGGATTTAACCAGATCTCAGTGAATCAGAGCTTAATTGGGATGGTAATAGCAGCAGCATGGAGACTGGGTGGAAAGGGACGATATAAAAAGCAAGGAGACCAGCCATGGTGAGAGGTGGCTAGGACTGGAGCCACGGTGCAGTGGGAGAGGACAGAAGGCCCAGTTCCGAGTGCCCACAGCAGCACCCAGCTGTGGCAGCTCCGGTGGCCCAGTGCAGCCTGTCCTGCCCCTGGCACTGAGCCACATGGAAAAGCTGATGGTGTCCCGTCCCCGTCCTGTCTGCCTTCTCCCACCCCCTAACCCCAGCACCAAGCCCTGCACAATGAGTTCCAGTGCCAGCAGTTCTCGGGCCGGCCCACTGCACCTCTCAGACCGAGCTTGAGAGCCCTCAGTGCAGAGTTCTTGGAAAGCAGTGGGGGTGGCAGTGAGCAGAGGGAGGTCCCCTCGGGCCTTCCCAGGCAGCACTTGGGCTCACAGAGACTGGGCTGGCACCAAGGCTCTAAGTTGACCCTTTCTCCATCCCGCTGTCAGATGGCTTGTCCCTTAGAGAACTCTGAGGCCTGCAGGTTCTTATTCCTTCTGCCCTGGGAGCTGGCGCTGAGCTGTCTGAGGGGGTGGTGTGGACGGCCACTGCCTTGAGCGGTGGGGTAGATGGGCAGGAGATCAGGAGAAAGGCAAGCTGGGTGTAAGTGAAAGCCCAGGTGGAGTCCCCACTACCCACTGCCTCAGTAAGACCCGAGGAACTACGAGAGGTGCCAAGCACGACGGAGGGAGAGACCTAGTGCGGCATTGGACACTGCAAAGCTGTGAAACTGGCTGCCTGGAAATCAGTGCTAATAGCAAGCTGGGAGAAGGGGCTGGCAGGGAGGAAGCAAGGGAAGTCTTGCAGAAATAGCTGTTGACAAGTTCCCCAAAAGAAAAAACTCACTGTCAAAGCCCCCAAATATGCAAAATCCCAAACTGCCAGCAGGCAGCCAGAGGGAACCAAGCAGCAGTTGAGTCTAGGTCATAGCTGCCACAGGCTTCGGCTGCTTGTCTGCCCCGTGAGAACTCAGCACAGGCTGGAGGGAAGGTCCCTCAGGACGGAGCTGCACTCCAAACCCCATTCATCACCACAGTCTCCACTGGGCATCCACCGGGCTGCACTCACAAGTCCATCATTGCTCCTGCTCCGCCCGGCACTGTGCAGGCTGTGTGCATCCTACTGTAGGAGTCAGGAAACTGAGGGATGTGCAAGTTAAGGCGGTTATCCAAGATCAGAACTGGACTTGAGCTGAAGCCTGTCTGCTGTTACACAAGGGAACGGCCAGGCCTTTGGGGGGAAGGACTAGAACCTCCTCTGCCTCCTGAGATGCAGGCTGAGACCTCAGGCCCGGTCAGGTGCCTGACTGTAGGGAAGGTGAGAGAAAGTATCAGGCCTCTAGCCCCAGGAGAACAGTATGTGGGAAATGGCTTAGGGAGGCTGGTGGGTGAAAGGGGAACACAGTTAAAAATCCAGACTTCCTCCTGGACTTTCAGGAAGTACCATGAGGGAAGGCAGCACAGCTTTGAAATGAAGCAGAGCAGGCTGTTTGCCTTTGGTCCGCACTCTGTGGAGTGCCCTCTCTTCCTGAAGACCAGGCAGCATACCCTCTCCCAGAGCTACCCGGTTAGGTTACCCACGCAGGGAGCAGGCAGGCAAAGCAAGCTAGCTGGCTGGGCCCTTCCCACCGCCTTCATTCAGTTAATGACCAGCCTGCCACTGGTGCCAAAGGGCTAAAGCCAAACACTTGCCTTCTGGTCCGGTTCTGCCTGCTAAGTGGCTGAGTAGCCTTGGCCACTGCAGGCCATGCCGGGTCTCAGTTTCTCTACCAGTAAAACAAGTAGGAGCTAGGAACGTTCCAGGAGTCATCGCACCCTGGTCTCTGAGTGATTCTCAGAATGGGGAAGTGGACCTTATTTCGGCGTTTAGCCTAGAACCGCCCTCAGCAGGTTCTCCTAGCACTTGCCTGCCTGCCTCAGAGGACTGGGCCAGCAACTAATTCCCTCCCTCTCCTGCTTCATCCCTTCCAGGTGAGGGCTCCGAGTACGCAGGTGGGGAAGACGCCCTCAGCAGGATCCAGCGGCTGATGGCCGAGGGGGGCATGACCGCCGTGGTGCAGCGGGAGCAGAGCACCACCATGGCCTCCATGGGCGGCTTTGGCAACAACATCATCGTCAGCCACCGCATTCACCGCAGCTCCCAGACAGGGACTGAGCCCGGGGCCGCCCGCACCTCCTCGCCCCAGCCCTCCACCTCTCGGGGACTGCTCCCGGAACCTGGGCAGCTGGCAGAGCGAGGCCTAAGCCCCCGGACAGCCTCCTGGGACCAGCCCAGTACCCCCGGGCAGGAGCCCCCCCAGCCATCTCTGCCCTTTTCCTCCCCCGCCCCTACTCCCGTCCCCCTTCCCAGCACTGAGGGACCAACCCCGCACTGCGACCTGACCAGTAGCAGCCACCTTCCTGACGGTGGTGGTAGCAGCAGGGGGGAAGCCGCAGGCCCCAGTGGGGAGCCACGGAACAGGTAGAGACAAGTGTGCACTGGTGCCTCCCTCAAACCGCTGAGCAGAAATCGGACCTCACAGCTGACTGGGAACTGGACACACGGAAGAGCTGCGGGCTGCATCGGGAACAGGAGCAAGAGGGCGGGAGTTCGAGGAAATCAGAGTCAGTGGGCGTGAGGCAGTCAAACGGGCAAGGCTCGCCTTGGGACTAGAGCCTTTCAGGATCTGGAGCCCACAGAGCCACGCTGCTGTGCTGAGTGAATGGAGGAGGAAGTGGGTATTCTGCCGTGAACCCCCTTTCTCCTATTCACAGAGAACCCCAGAGGGTGAGCAGTCTCCCAGCGCTGGGCCAAACCATCCTGCACAGTGGCCGGTGGGACAGCTTCGCCCTGTCCACCTGTCGTAGGGGCCAAGCCACTAGGACTTGAAGAGCAAGAGGAGCAGCCCGGCTCCCAGAAACCATCTGTGTCTCGGAGCTTCCAGAGCTTCAGCCTCTTATCTTTCCCCCCGGAGACCACTGCGGGCCCAGATTCCAGAGGACAGGGGCTTCTACGCCTGCTAGTGGGACAGCCATGGAGTGGGGGGAGCCTGCTTGCCTGACACAGGATGGGGTCAAGGGATGGTGGGCAGGTCCTCACTCAGGAGTGGGGGGTGTAGGCTGGCCAGCCCCCATGGCCTGTCCACCAAGAGCAGCGCCTGTGGGTATCAGTATTACCTGAGCCGAGGCCAGAGCCAGCCCGAGGCTGGGGGAGGGGATGAAACTCCAGGTCAGAATGTGAGGTCTTGGTCTGTGATTTAAGGTGTTGCATGTGGAATCTTAAACTGTACGTGTAGTTTCTAGTGGAAAAATCAAGGCGCTGATTATTTTGTTTTTAGTATGAAAATGTGATTTCTGTTTGTAACTCATAGAAACATTGTGGTGGGAGGAGAGGGGGATAGTCTGACTGCTAACGAGGGAAACACCAAAGATCTACATCATTAAAATGATGACATGCCCCTCACCAGGCTCCGCTCTGTGTGTTCTTATGGAGGATGTGGGGGTTGGGGGTGATGGGTTGGGGACAAAGGGGGGTCTTTGAAATGAGCTGGGCTCAGGTTCTCCCAGGCACTGTTTTTGGTGCTGCTGGCCTCCGTGGGGAGCCTTACCTGATGGCCTCAGCATAAGCCACTCAGGTACGCGCTGCCACCTCTGCTTTACACCCAGTCTGTACCACCACCGCCTGCTTCCTCTGAGCTGGCTAGGGATTGGGGCAACTTTAACAGTGACCACTGGGTAGGTAGGAATGACAGAAGGCCACTCATCTTAATTGCTTCCTACCCAGGACTATGGGTCTGGAGTGAATAACTGGCAAAAAGCTGGACCTCTCCAGTCCTAGGAAAGAACCCATAATGGAGTTGGAGCTTGTTCTTGTCTACAGACACCCCATAAAGATGCCATTTGCTGCCCCTCAGGTTCCCTTCACTTTGTGTCCTCAGTACAGTGACTGAAAGGCCTGCTTATTCATGGGCCTTGGCCACTTTAAGGTTCAAGCTGATGTGGTTCTGGTCAGGGGACATGCCTGGGCTTAATATCTACTGTTTCCCCGAAAATAAGACAGTGTCTTATATTAATTTTTGCTCCCAAAGATGCGCTAGGTCTTATTTTCAGGGGTTGTCTTATTTTTCCATGAAGAAGAATACGGTACACATTTATTGTTAAATGAAAATAAAGGAAATTTATTACCTGTATACTGTAGTACGGTTGTTGTCAACCTAAACCAGACAAACTGTGAATCCTACAGTATCAAGAATTTACTCATTTATTCCATTACAATCATGTCATCATCTTCTGGAACATCATAACAATCCAATTCCTGAATTTCCTGGTGAAATTCTTGTGACTCCATTTCTTTCAGAATCAGTGGACCAAATCTCTCATGTTTAGCAATAGCATTCTGAGACAGAGCCTAAGGGGGGCCTTATTTTCGGGGGATGCCTTATATTTCACTCAGAAGGAAACCTGTAAGTAGGTCTTATTTTCGGAGGATGTCTTATTTTTGGGGAAACACGGTAGTAAGGGGTATATAGGTGGCAGCCCATCGCCGTTTCTCTCTCCTCCCCCTTCTCTAAAATCAATAAAACATACTTTTTACAAGTTTCAAGCCAATTAGAAAGTGGCAGAGGAATATTTGCCCCAAATCATATAAAGATATACAGGAAAATCAGCCACCCCCGGCTTCTGCCAGTAACAAGTACTTCTTGAGTAACTTTTGCGTGTCTAATTGTGTCCCAGCCTATAGGTTACGCATAACTATGCTACTCCAACAGAGACAAAACCAAAAGGTTAAATGGGAAAGCAAGTAATACAAAAAAGTGTGAAGAGTTCTATAATTAGGAGCACTAGAATGTTCTAGAAAATTATATTTAACAGTGGACTCGACTAAAGGACATCACTTGGCTGTGTGACCTAGGGCAAGCCACTTGCCTTTTTTTTTTTTTTCTTTTTTCTTTTTGTTGTTAATCCTTACGTGAAGATATTTTCCAATGATTTTTATTTAATTTTTAATATTTCTATTGATTTCAGAAAGGGAGAGATAGAAGCATTAGTGCTGAGAGAATTATTGATAAGCTGCCTCCTGCATGCCCTCTACTAGAGATTGAGCCTACAAGCCAGGCATATGCCCTTTACTGGAATTGAACCCAGGACCCTTCAGTTTTCAGGCCAAGGCTATCCACACTGAGCCAAACTGGCTGGGGTGCCACTTGCCTTTTCTCTGCTTCACTTTCCTGCCTTGTAATAGGACGCAGGGCTTGCAACCTCTCAGTTACTTCTATAATCTAATCCTTGGAGCTCAGCACTGGTTAGTACAGGTTCCCATGAAGAGGTGGGACTTGAACCATGCATTGCCAGATGGGGAAGAATCCCTTAGCTGACAGTGGGGCTATGAATTTGTTAAGTGTAAACCTTGGCCAAGGACTCCATGAGTAATCTCAATCTTCTTCACAAAAACCCTCTAAAGTGGGCACTGACTGGTATTGCACCCAGACCACACAACTAGTGGAGCCACGGTTTTAATCCAGGTGGGACCCCAACTTGCTCTGTTATTTTGTAAAAAGGGTATTCAGCCATGTGGGTGAGGTGATCCAAATCCGGCTCTGTCTGGCCTCACCTCTGCCCTCCCCAGCCAAGGATGAGCCCAATCCACCCTGTCACAACACCAACCCCTCCACTTAGAAAGCCTTTGCCTGGTGGATAGAGCCTTCCCAGGGACAAAGCCTTTTGGGGACCCCATGTCTGTCACCACAAGATTGTGGGGTCAACAGGAGAGCTTTGCAAGCACATTTGGAGATGAAGGAATAGGTCCAGAGAAGTCCTATGGGCCCAAGTTGTAGACCCAGTTGGATCAAAGACAGAGAGCAAAGGCTAAACCAGGTCTCTGGTTTCCAACTCAGCTCTACACAGTTCCACTTTGGGTTCTGGCATTGGGGAGGCCAGTGGCCCCACCCCATAATGGATTTCAGAGGAACGGGAGCAGCTTTGCCTGACAGCTTCTGGAAGAACCCAAGGCAGTGGGTTGGAGGCATTTCTGGTTTCTGGGCATCCAGTCCTTGGCCTTGCTTGTCTTCCCATCTGACTGTTGTACCTACCCTTCCCGCATTCTGTTTATTCACACACACACACCCTGCAGGGCTATCATTTAATTGTTACATGAACCAATTCACCTGTGACGTGGGGACAAGAGCAAAAGCACTTCTTTCATCCCGGGTGATGAGGATCATGGGAGAGCAAATCATTCTGAAGCACAATAGCTTTTCACTCTAGCCTACTCCAGGCAGGAGCGCTGGGACCGCATTCAGCCTGGAGAACACGCCAAGAGCCCCCGCAGCGCTTGCTTTTGCCCGACTTCTCTAATAGCTCTCGCCCTTTCTTCTCCACTGCGTACCCGCCTCCACCACCATCCCTCCCTCCCCCCTCCCCCCAATCCCACACATAGCCCTCTGAGCATCTCTTAGGTGAGGGTGAAGGAGGGGCGGGACTTGAGTTGTTTTTCCAAGAGAAGAAACCATGCGTTTTAAGGTTAATCGGGTTTTTGACGCAGAGTTTGGTGTGATGTGACAGGCATCGGGGCCGGGCGTGGGGGGTGGGTGGGAGAACCGCTCCCCCCGCCCCCCAATCCCTCCCTGGTCAGCCCGGAACCGGTCTCGGAGGTAGAGCGCTGGTGCCTGGGCGTGGAGCTGAGCCGAAGGTCGGGGCTGGGGAGGAGCTCTCCGAGGTGCTGAAGGCGCCCGGCGCTCGGCCGCGGCCCTCCATCCAGGTCGGTTCCCAGAGACCTCGAGAGACCGGCGGCCCTGCCCCTGGGGTCTCGCTCTGGGCTTCGCTCAAGTGACCTTGGGCTTTCCCTCCCAGGAATCGGTGAACTCGACCTTCAGGCCTCGGCTGGATGGGCTGCGTATCGTATCCCATCCCGTCCCGGGGCTGAGAGTGCTCACCCCTTCCCGGCCCGAAGTGCGGGGGCCGAGCGGTGGGGGTGCGGGGCGGGCAGGGGTTGTGTGCGAGGGGCGAGCTCCTCTCTCCCCGGCGGAGCCGCTCTTCTCCCCGCAGCTGCTTCCCCAGCCCCGACGGCGCCCCTCTGCTCCGGCCGCCCGGCGGCCTGCGCGCAGCCGCGGGGTTGGACACCTCCGGCCCTCGGCTCTGCCTCGACGGAGCCGCGGGAGCAAAGCCGACCCTACCCACTCATCCACCTCCTATTGGGGCCGAACTGCGCGCGGGGCCACGTAGGGAGTGAGGTCCGAGCTGGGCGCCAGGCAGCCTCCTAGTCCCGGTGCCCGGTCCGAGCGGAAGGGGGGGGTGGAGGGTAGCGCAGCCAGACGGGGCTGCCAGCGCTCTCCCCCAGCCCGCGAGGGGGCGCCGCATCCCCATGACAATGCGGACACCCCACCCCCCAGCCTCTCCGAGGGCCGGGCCCCCAAGCTCAACCGCCCTGTCAGCGTGGGTGGGGTGTCCCCGCGGTGCCCGAGCGGGGAGCTGCCGGCCGACTCCAAGG